TAGTTCTTGTAGCCTTATCTCCTGATTGCCTTACCCCTTATTACCTACCCCTTACTGCCTTACTTCCTTCAGGGCCTATGCGTACCTCCATATAATAGCCCTTAAGGACCTATGGGCACCCCCATATGACAGCCCTTGAGGACCTATGGGTACCTTCATAGGATACCCCTTGAGCACCTATTGGTAACCCAATATAGTAGCCCTTGGCGCCTTCCTCTTATAGCCTTATTTGACCTTTAACCTTTGACCCGGCACAGACAGACAGACAGATCGACAGACACTGAGCATTATATATATAGATTCTATCAAGAAGATTTTCCGCTGAAAATGACTATTCAAGCACCACCACCTTATCATGAACGTCCAAATACTGAAAGTCCTCAATCATATCCGGGTGTTCAGCCATATGGAGGTCCTCAATATGGTGCACTGATTATTATAATGCAATAACAACAACAGTAAGTTATTGTGCAAGCAAGAAGAACCAATCATGCTTTATATGATCTTATTTGTTTCCTTACAGGTAGATTAAATCTTTCCTGTTGGATTTGGTCTTGTGTAACTGATTAAAAATTCTTATATATTTTTTTCTTTTGCTTTCTTTTCCAACTGAATCCATTCATCCTATACAAAATAATTGATTATTTACTTTTTTTAATATTTTGAATAAAATTCTTTGATGTTATGCATAAAAAAGAATAAAGTAATTATCACATATACATATTTTGTATTAATAAAGAAAGATATTTTTTATTCATATGATTTTATTGTTAATTTGGACATGTATACTAGAATTTTCATCATCACTGGAAAAAATCGAAAAGTTGATTTTGGCTGCTTTTTTTTTTTCTCTCTGTTTGTTAAAAACTTGAATAGTGATGACAGTGAGTCAGTAACTATAGTGATGATTACATGCTATTCAAACTTTAATGGATGAAAAAGTAAACCTTCATCTCTATATTTATTTCAGCTGCCTATTGTATTCTCACCGGTTATAAATGCAACCTTATGAAAAACAAAGAAACAAAATGCCACAACAACCGCTAAATCAAGGATTTTTTCAATTTCAACACAATGGTCCTTAGTTAGTATTATTAACATAAAATAATAGCTTTCTCTTTTTGTATTAATGATAACTTAATACTTACTTAGTATATGGCAACAACAACAACAAGGACAATTTATGTCTCAAGGTTTTCCGGCATTTTCTTTGTTTCCTCCATTTCCAAATTTTGTTCCTTTTCCGAACAATGTGAATTATAATACCTACAGCATGAATTATAGTTCACCAAATCCTAATCACATGTTTACTGATAATGATAATAATTATTCATCTGCACAATATCAATGGCAAAGCCATCATCCAGATAGAGGAGGAAATAATAAAACAAGTTATGAACGCAATGGAAATCAAGAACAATATGCATCATATCCTGAAGGTGCCGTCTATCGTCGTGCTAGTGGACCTGGTTGGCAACGACAAGAAATGTTTTATCCGAGCAATTCATTTAAATAAATATTCCATAGAACGAAAGAGAATAGTGGACTTTCGACATTATCATTGCTTTTTTTATAACTAAGATAAAATATTTTTATTTTAATAAATCGATTTTTTAAATCTTTTCAAGTTCAACTTCTTTTCTATACGAGGGTGTGGGTGTGTGGGGGGTGGGTGTGGGGGGGGTGGGTGGGTGGGGGTGGGGGTGGGGGGGTGGGTGTGGGGTGCGGGTGTGGGTTTGGGTGTGGGTGTGGGTGTTGATATGAGCATAAGTCAACTCTAATAACAAACACACCTACACCCACGCCCCACACCCGCAGCCACACCCCACACCTACACCCCACACCCACACCCCACACCCACACCCACACCCCTTTCGAGGCTGAAACTATTTTTTCATACCATGCGATATTGTATACAAATAAAGAGCACTATAGTACGATTTTTCTGTATAAATCAGAGCTTTACCTTAATAATCAATATTTACATTTTTCTGGGTACCAAAAAAAGCACTTGAACTTTACTTAATAATTTTCATATGAATGCAACCATATTCACTGATACCTAATGCGTTTCAATGTTGCCATTGCTTACATATGTCGCGTAAGTGAATGTAGGTAAGAATGAGAGGAGGGGGAATGGATCTGGTTGGTGGTAGTAGTTCTGTCATTCACTGACACCCACACCAACGCCCTAGATTCCCGATAGACTGAAAAAATAATCAAATAAACGAACTATCCAATGTTAGTATGTTTCAAATCATTTAGAAAAAGAAATCTTTTAAGCATACAAAATACGAATCAGTACTTACCTTCTTTATATTTTGCTGATTGTATTATATACTGTTTCATTTAGTGAGCCACGCAGATGTTGATTATTCTCATTACTTATAAATGAAAAATATTGCAAGCATGAGATTGTATATAATTGGTTTACTAATAATGAGTATAAATGCGAATAACTACTATTATTTTCTACGTGGTTTTGAAACTTGAAATTAGAAGAATGAAAATAAATTTCAATATTCTTCACTCTTAGCTTTTCTATCCAGTGGTTGTAGTAATGAATGATGAATAAATGAATAATTAGTAAAATTGGATCAATTAGATTAATATAAAAAAAAAACTTTACGACATGCTGGTGCAAAGAGAAAGCTGCTTAAAAAAACTGAAGAATTTGTAAAAAGTACTGAAAATTTCTCGAAAATTATAGTATTAGCAACCATGTTTTAGACGATAAGTTTGTGAAAAGCAATTCATTTTGCGATAAACCATAGATATCCTGAAAGAGGCGATTTCGATGCATCTTACTATGATAAAACTTCAAACTGAAATATTGCAATTCACACGTACCCATATATAAATGGCTTTCTTCATGGAATTTCACCTTGTAGAGCTAGATGACTTATAGTTATGCTTTTAAAAACCAGATTGAAAGAACCTGTTCTCAAGAAGCTGTAGAATTCCAAAGTTAATACGGAAATCGGTAAAATTTATTTAAAAAAAAATTATGAAATTTTGTTATCCTCACTATTTCAAGATATAATATGCATAAAAATCAATTACAAATACATATTCTTCTTCGTCTTTCGCTAATACATCTGCTTATAATTTTTTTAAATATTTTCATTAGTCTAGTAAAAGTTTTGCAGAGCAACTTCATCACTATGAAATCCTATGTTTAAAATTTTATTCAAACTCCAAATTACTGAGATATATCCATTTTTTCCGACAAAACTTATTTTAGTAAGAAAAGAAATGATTATTTGGTATGAAACTGTCTGCATTTGTCGAGACACTTTGCATCAAGGATTCCTACAGTTTTCAACTATCTATATAATTGGTAGTTGCTGATCTATGGAAGGTTTTCTTTGTGATTGAATAGTCAAATGAACTTAGTCACCATCTGTGTAGATCAGTATGGGACATATACTCTTGTTGACTCTCACCAAAGAAATCACCAAATCCCTTCTTAACTCCTCCAGAAATTCCTCAGAAGATTCTTCTACGGAATCTCGATTAGGGAATGGTTGTTTTATTGATCCCATTGGTCTTTTGTCTGAATATAAACTATTCTGTATATTTGTGAGGTCACGTCAGAGACTGACGATGTTTCGATTGGACAACATCATTGATCTTTCATTGTTTCGACGAGTTCATCTATTTTATTCTACAATGACGAAAGTTGTTATAAACAAAGAATGTATATATATATATATATACGTTTATTTTTCATAAGTATGATAGTCAGAATAAAATATGAATCGATTGAATATTAATCTATTGGATTTACCTGACGAAATATTACTTCTTATTTTGAAAAAGCTGAACAATATTGATGTTCTTTATTCATTAATCGATGTTAATAATGACCATTTGAACAGTTTAGCACAAGAAAAAACCTACAGTCATACTCTCAATTTCGCCTCAATCGATAATGATTCTGTAATTGATCAAGAGAAACTTGATCGATTTTGCAAGATTATATTACCAAAAATTCATGAAAATGTAAAATATTTTATTCTTGAACCACTTTCAATGGAATGTATTCTTCTTACTGCTGATTATCCAAATCTAACTGAACTTAAGCTTTTTAATTTCACAGAAGAAATTTGCTTAAAATACTTTACAAGTAAGGAATCATAACATAAAATGATGTTAAATAGAGCATTGTATTATTTCATATTTAGATGAATCATCTCTTCGATATATTTTTCAAGAAAAACTTACACATCTTACTCTCGTAAACAGTGACGAACGACCTAAGATAGAATCATTGAGAACCTATAATGAAAATGTATATGAACATATTTTGAAGTTCTTTAGAAATTTAAAACATTTGAGTTTTTTTGACGCACATCATCGATCACATCCATCTTTATTACTGTGTGATTCACCATCAATTAGTTTTTTCTCTGCAAATCTTACTTATTTATCTATAAATGTGTACACATTTGATGACTTTCTTTATTTACTTGATGGTCGATTCAAACAATTAACTATACTTATTGTTCGAATATCTCGAAAAACAAAACTACCATCAGTCATTTCCATTACGGTAAGTTTTAAGAAAGACAGTCAACAATCATATGAAGTTGACTACTAATTCTATAAACTTTTACATTTAGATATATTCTTTTGTTTATTACATAGGATAATTTATCTAATTTGAAATGTTTTTCATTGATATGTTATCGTCGACTTGATATATATGATGAACACATTTTACCACTTCTTCATCATATGACATGTCTCGAAAAATTAACTATATATCTTTGTATATCAAAGCGTGATAAATTTATTGATAATTCTCATCTTGAAAATGAAATTCTTCGTTATATGCCACATCTTCATTCATTTATTTTTTTGTATTAGTACTTATTATGATCGTGCTGATGATTTATTTCATTATGTACCTAGACATGATATTCAACAAATTACTGTAAATATTAAACATCAACAATATATGGTTAATATGATAAATTATATCAATATTAATCAAGCTGTATATTCTATCTTCTCACTTCCTTTTACATTTCAACGGATTTGAGATGTTGGAAATAAATTTCCAGATATTATATTCAAATATGTTACACACTTAGTGGTACAAGATATTGTTCTATTCAATCATGAATTCTTTCTTCGGGTTTCTCGATCTTTTCCATTACTGCATAGACTTTCTGTTATAAATCCTATATTACAATCGTCGTCTGATATGAATTCATTTTTATTTAATGATAGTCAATCATGTTCAATTGCTAAATATCCTCATCTTACTACGCTTAGTGTCGCCGGAGAGGCAAATATTAACAATATTGAAGAATTTTTAAATGAAACGAAAACATCTGTACCATGTCTAATCAGTTTAAGGGCAACATACAATGATTTAAAAATTGTCACTAAAAATTTTACAAGAGAAGAAACACGAAACAATTGTAAGAACATAAAAGAACTTTTTCTGTTCAACATGTCGCCAGAAGACAAAGAGTTTTGTGATTATTTTCCTTCGTTACAAAGGAAATTTTGTTTTTATCCATCAATAAACTGATAAATGTTGTATTTCGATGAACGATATAAGGAAATGTCGACTATATGTGATGTTCTACTAAAAATTAGTCTTAAAATGGTCATATTTAAAAAGAGAATTGTAGAAAACACAAGGGGGAAAAAGCTGAATTTTTGATTTAAAGATTGACTTGATTGACAAATGATTGATTTGATTGCAAACAGCTTTTTCTCCCTTGACGAAAACACTATTTTCTTTCATGCAATTCTTTCCGATTAAAACAATATGCGCTCTAAATTATAACTGTTCTCTTACTTAATACAACTGTAACAGGCAACTAACCTCAACAGCACACAACTGGCAAACGAAATATCGTTGACAAGTCTTTCATAATCAGCGTCAGTTCATTCTTCTCCTCCTCCTCGAGAACAATAAAATAATAACCGCATGAAAACTAACAACTGAAATAATGTCATGCGTCAATTATTCGTCAAAAGTACCGCTCTTATGACAACTTACCAAGAAGTAAATAAACATG